CTTAGTCCTCAGAGTCCAGTTTAGAGCCCTAAAATCCCACATTTACCCCTGCTCTATCTTCTCAATCTCATAGTCCCATGTCATGGCCACCATCATCCTTCCAGCCAACAAGTTCAGGGGGAAGCTCCTTTCTTAGCCCCTAAGTGATATGAAGCACTCTTTTGTGTATTTGCAATAGTCAGGTTGGTCAGTCAAAGATTCATTCATGGGATTAAAAGGTAATGTCCAGTAAATGCAAGAATACCATACATTATGCTTGTAATGATTACAGTCTTAGTGTTGCTGTTCTTATTCAGGCAAATATTACTGTGGCCTCCATGGAAGTTTTGGGTATGCAAAGAATACAGCTCCAAATTCAGCAATTAAACACTAGGCAAAACCCTACAATTTATTCAAAGTTGCATCTCCTTCATCAACCATAATGAAAAGTATGGAAAAGCAGCTCAACCATAGAACTGTATTAAGCTGTAACATATTTCAGCTACTATGCCATGACTGAAGGGAGCATGACCAATACTTAATATGACGTACACCTATTCCACACTCTCCTCTGTACTCTCTATCCTGAAGAATGTGGACAAGTACGTGTGCTTTACCAGCAAACACAGATTTCAAACTCTCTTGTAACAGTGACCCTCTGTACAGAACAAATTCAAAAATTACTCAGCTGCAAATAATTTATGTCTCAGTAGAAAGTCTAACATAAAATCCATTTATAAGTAAGGAGAGGATACAGAAAATCAGAAATTGATCCTTATTTTGCATTTTTATATATCTCAAAAACAGTAACATTTGATAGCTCTTGGAATACAGATTGCATTTCTGCATTGATTTATTAATAATTCTGTTGCTAAAAAAGTCAGCGAAAAAGCTGTGTTTAGCATAGCTGAAGTGATTGAACTAAGATTCAGTTTTTGAATGAAATGCTCTCACTATAATGTTCCTTTGATTACTGCAACAGTAAAATCAATTCAGGCATCTGTTTTGCTTTGCAAAACATATAACAATGCCTGTTAAAAGGAAAGAATAAATGAACCAGTCGTTTTCATTTCTGAATCAAATCTCTTTGCTCATACTAAGAATTGCCATCCACTTCTGTCTTTGGGAAATTTCAAAACTTTGTGAAATGTGATAGAATAGAAATACTTAGGTCCAGAATTTGCTCTTTATGTAACTCTTGAGTTAATTCCATAGAAATCAATAGAAAGCTACACTAGTGTAACTGAGAACAAATTTGGCCACTTGTGAAAAGCTTCCACATCACCATACTGCAAAATGTGACAAAATAGCTCTTTATATCCAAGTCCAACACTATTCAGACTGTAACTCAAATATCTGCTTCAATAAGCAAGGGTAGGTGAGGCCAAGTCTCCAAGCTAAGTTCATCTTTTGGCAGCTACTATTTAGAAGACTGCTGAAAAGGCAACATTTTCCTTGTACCGGGGCAAGAGAGGTCAGTAAGTGCAATCCAGTTGTTGAAAATAGCACCCCAGGTAAAGTTACAGGAATGAATGAATGTGAGACATAGAACGGAACAAGTAATTTTTACATCAGTGGCTCTCAAAAAGGAAAAGCCGTCAGGCTTCACTGTGGAAAATGCAAACCTCACTTCCACCTAGCAGAAAATCACAAACTTGAAGAGCATGTCTGTGAACAATTATTCACTTTGCAAATCTTATTTGACAAGTTTTAGACGATTTACAAGTTTCATTAACCAGACCGAATCCCCTTAGGCCAGATTCTACACCCATATTCTGACTGGCAATGGACCCCCCATGTACACACAAAAATCCCCTCCCCTTTACATAGATTATAATCTCTACATGCAGCAAGACCA